CAGGGCTGGGAATGGTTGGACTTGGTGAGCTGAAACGTCTTTTCCCACCTGGTTGATTCTGTTATTCTATTTTCCCTTGATGGGCAGGATGCTGGCCTAGATTCGGGCTGGTTTCCTTCCTCAAGTCCTCAGCTCATGGGAGACAGGGACAGGGGTGGGAAGAGCCATGGGTGCTGCTGCTGGCAGCCTCTCAGCCAGGAAGGGCCCTTAGCTGGGGCATGCCTTGGCTCTTTTTCAGCGTGAAGGATAGTTTATGGCCAGGACTGATGTTTGCTCATATATGGGAGTGTCTGTGTTGGAAATCTTTGCTGTTCTCATTATACTTTCTTGCTGTCAAAACTTCAGTGTGGTAACTTCTTTTCATAAATACATAAACTGTGTTCACTGATTCCTCAGCACCTTTACTTTGCTCTGAGAACCACGGTGTAATGAGGCATGAGATTATATCTTCAGTGTTTCCATTCCAGATATAAATGGAGAACTTTATGTTGAGACTATGAGACTAATAGAGACTACATGTTCACCTCTCCAAACACTTGTGCACTCGTGTCTGACCAGATTTTAATGTGCTAGTCTGGTGTAATGAATTCATCTAGACAAAAGTGAGAGGAGGAAAAGGCCATAGCTATAGAGCATCCTGAAGTTTGTGTGAAACTAAAGGTTTTGCAGCTACAGTTTTGTGTGTTTATAGCATGTGTGCTTTGTAGCTTTGTCGGGAGATTGTGAAAAATAATGTCAGAAAGTTGGTGTTGGGGATTACTGGGCTTTGTGCAGCATATAATGAGAGGGAGTGAAGGTACAGCTGGGGTGACATCTCTTACAGTACTTAAGCTACTGCACTTGCAGCTGCCCTAGACATGATCCTTCTGCTGAGCACTTTGTAGCTCAGGCAGGATAAGTTGGCTGTGGATGAGTTGGCTTCTTCCATTGGGAGTACTGCTGGGAAGAGGCAGGTCCTGGAGCTTGAAAACTTTTGTTTAAAGCCTGACTTGGAAGTGGTTTTGTAGTCTGTACTCTGAGAAGCCAAAACAACAAACTTGCCAACAGGTTTCTTCTTTAGAGGTTGTAGAATTGGTGCATCGACGGGTTTCCTTTACCTCCTTAAGTCTGGCCCATTCCCTGGGGTTGCTCTCAATGACAGCATGGTCAGGTCTTCTTTCCAGTTCATGCTTCACATGGAAAGAGGTTGAGTCAGCCCCGCTCTTTCCTACCCTTTACACTCACAGTTGTTGCAGACAGAAGGCACGTAGGACGATGTAAATCACTGCTGTCTGTGAGTGTTCCCCTCTGAACTTCAGGACTAACTATTCCGGTGACTTCAGTCCACATAAGCACCACATGCTCTTGAGTTTTATGTGGTGTAAAGAGCTGGAAACTAATTGTATCAGAATGAGAGAATGCCAGTCTGGATTCTGCTACTGCAGAAATAAAGATGGTGTGTGATTAAAAATGAAACTTGACCAATAAATGTGGTGAAACCTTCACTTTGCTGAGGTGGTTTGCTGTGTCTCTGATATTTCGAAGTGGGATTTTTTTTTTACTTCTTTTGGGGTGGATTTGTGTGTGTGGTTTTCTTATTTGGTGCTTTTTGTAGTACTCTCAGGGACAGCCTTCACAGCAGAAGGATAGTCAAGATTGCTGTCTTGGGTAATTGCAAGTGGTGCTATTGCTTCAAGTACTGATGTTGTCCCCTTTACTTTGGGGACCAGAACAAGCTTTGGAGTGCTGTTTAATCTTTGCTTTCTTTATGGTGTCTTACTCTGACTCTCACAGCTTTGCTGGGTCTTTCAGAGCATATTGAAACACTCAGGGAGTAGCTTCATGCTCCAGATTGGGAACTCCTGGACAGGTACTCTATGGTTGTGTTAGGTGTACACTGGTTGTAAACTCTTTCAGCTCCAGCTTTTGTCAGTGATATAACTAAGGGAAAGGGAGGTTGTCCTGTGTAGATGGTCCATAACCTTCTGCTGCAAAGGGTCTGGAGCAGTTGGGCTTATAGCCTGACTTTTGGGGTAAGCAGAAACTAAGATTTTTACAGGGCATGTGTGAAAGCTTTGTCCTCCTGCATAATTTGCCCTTCACAGTTGAGACGTTTTATATTACCAGCTTCTGACATCAAAATACACTTATAGGTGCAGTTGGCACTAATTAAAAGGATAATGAAAACTCAGTTTCACTTCAGCTTTCTCTTCACACTTACAATCTTTAGAGGTTTCTGACAGTCTCCAAACAGCTTTGTTCCTGATGTTGCAATGGTTTGTTCCAAAAGCTTTGTTCCTTACCCTTAGTATGTTAAAAAAAACCCAGTGGTCTGGAATAGCAGTTCTAGCTTGCTTAACATCTAACCAAATAGGTGAATGTACCTTTTCCTTATTACTCTTCTAGTTTAGGGCTTCTTTTAAGAAGACTTGAATGCCCCAAGTGTTGCAGCAGCAGCGCTCACTGTGAGGGAATTACAGTGAAAGAAAGAGGATTCTTGTCTCATTTGTCTCTGTGATTTTCTGTTGCTGCAGAAATTACCAGAGCTTGAAATACTTGTGTTACATATGTGAAATGGCTGTTTACATCTCTCTTTTGTGGAGAACTCAGATTTATTGGCTGCCAAACCCTAATTTACTGCTATCCCCAATTCCCAGACACTTCTAAGCTATGTCAGCCCCCACGCTAACAGGCTCTGTAGCATACCAGAAGCTGGTTGCCAAGAACTGTTTGAACCCCAAAGGAGTTTTGTTCCAGCTGCATACACCTTTGCTGATAAATCACTGGTACAAGAGAGATGGAAGAGCTAAAATTATTTAAGGTAGTGTTTCCTGAACTTCTGGGATTAGGAAACTGCTGTCAGCCTTTAGAATGTCTCGTGGGTCACTGGTGTAATGGGAGGGAACAGAGCTATTCATAAATCTCACTGCTAATGCTGTTCCACAAGCTCCTGACTGTGGCTTCATGGGTCAGGAACCATGTGAGGAAAACATCAGGAAAGGCTGGTTTGGGGATCTATCTGCAAGGCGAAACTGGAGTCCAGTTTAGAAAACAGCAGAGGGTGGTGCTGTACAGTGCTCCCTCCTGTACCAGAGCACTGTTGTGACCGTGTGCTTCCCACCTTTTCCTGAGCGGTGCCTCGAATCAAGAGGGTTCGGGGTGGTGGTTGTACCAGAGGGTCGTTTTATTTCTGTCAGGTTTTGAGTTGCAAAGAAAACTTGATTGCATGTTTGAAGTGAATTGGTGCAGTGAGATCCTTCTGATTGTACCTGTTCTTAGTAGTTACTAGTAAGATTAAAGGGATATAGTTTAAAAAAGTACTTTGAACTTACTCCACTGTTCCTCAAAGCACGCAGGAAAAAGCATCAAGCTGTTACCAAACGGTGCATTATTTAATTGTGTGTCCAGTTCTTTTGGATCATGTTGAAGAGAGATGTCATTCTTTTAGAAGTTAAGGAATGCTGGTGGAATGATTGCTTTACTCAGTTATACACTTGCAATTAAGCCTTATGAAAATCCACATCCAATTTTAGCGTATCTTGATGTATTGGAGAAACATTAAATATTTAGGATTTCTGGCTGTTGTCATAGTATAATTACAAAAGTAGTGGAGATGGAACACATTTTCCCACTGGAATGAGTTACAGGTAGATGCAGAATGGTTCAAATCGTATCCAGACTGACAGTTACTTTGCTGTTAGCATCCCCTTGCTCTTTCCTACTTGGGCTGGACTTCATGCAGTAGCTGGCAGCAGCATATCTTGCCTCACTTGCACGAGGGAGTGACAAAGCTCTAATAGAATTAAGCATCCTGAAAGTCATTCCGTCTCCTCATGCTCAACCTGCACAAGAGGGCAAATAGGAGGATTCTGTAATTGCTGTATGTGATCAAGTCCAAACAGAAGAGTCATACCTTTGAATATGCTGAGCTAAGAAAGAATAGAGCTTCTCAAGCAGTATTTTCTGCTCCTGCCTCTGGGCAGACCAGTGCCTCCTGCTCAGAGCTGTCACAGGCCACTGCCAGTCAGTGTCAGACACCTGATCTGCAGCTTGTGCACAGTGGTGTTAATGCAAGTTTGATTCTCCAAACTGCCCTACACCCAAATACATCCCAGATCACAAAGGTACTGGGTTGTCACACGGTCACTGCTTTTCCTTCACATCTGAGGAGGGGCTAAACCTGGAGATGCAGTGCAGGAGGATGAACGTTCGCAGCAATGGAGGTGGGTCCTTTGCTGTTTTGAGATTGGCTTCTGGTTCTGAGTATGCTCATTGCTTTGTGTAGGCTTAACGCACTTGTACTGAGCTGCAAACAGCAGAAGTAAAGCAGGAGAAATGATTAGAGGTCATTTGTCTTCTGATCCTGACCTTGCCATAAGGTTTTCTGTCTCCAGGGACAGTTTGCTTCCTTTGTAAAATCGGCTTAGTAGCTGTGATCCCTAATGGAGTTGAAAGCTGTGTGGCAGTCACTTGAGGAGACTGGGAGGTTCTTGACTGATTCATACTACAGTGTGAAGTATAATAAGGAGTAGCTGTAATAAAGAAAGTGCAAGGCTGACAAATAACACTGATTTTAGAAGCATCCTGTAGGGTCTTCCAGGGTTTGTTATGGGGTGGAAAGGACTTGCGACAGGGACAAGTTTTGCATTTGTTATAAGCATCTCTAAATGTGCTCCTGGCTGCTAATGTTATAGTTTAAGATCCACTGAAGCATTTATTGGGTTTTTATTATGTAGAAAACAATAGGGTAGATTTCTGATCTAGTTTAAATGTGTAGATTATTGACCAAATTCCTTATCCCACAATAATTAGGATTTTTCCAGATAACCATCTTAGACAAAATCCATTAAGCCACTGTTTCCAGGAGGAAGCTGCTGTGTGGAAAGCATTAGGAAGTTCCTACCATGGGCAGCTTACAAACAAATGGTAGTGAGTTGTCCCCACGATGTTTGTGTTTGCACAGCATTTAACACAGTAGGGCTTTCATCCTGTTTAGGTCTTGTGGTCACTGCTAGGTCAGACACATCCTACCAGCACCATATTGTTCTCTGAACACTTTGACATGTCAATATTTTTCTAATAACATCGTGTCTAGGACTTCAAGCATTACTTCAGGTGTTGTCATGACCAAGCTATGTGGAGATAGTTTCTTGTTTGCTCTGTCTTGCATTGCTCTCTGGTGTGAGTTAGCCCTTCCCCTGTCACATTACTGTGCAAGAAACCTACCTTGGAATTCAGTCACCAAAGATCCTTCAGCAGGTTTGGTTTCTTGGCCTTTTCACACAAAACATTGGGATAACGGTGGAAATCTTTTAGCCTTCCAGTTCTTTCTTTAAGCCTGAATTCTATTTTGCTTTCTGACTCATTGGTGTGATTAATCTGGATCTTAATTTCATGCAGTTGTGACAGAATGTTTTAGGTAATGGGATGCTGAAAACAGCTTGATTAATGAGCTGACACAGGATCTGTCACAATCTGCAGGGTTATGGCCAAGAATTCCATGATATGGGCTTTAATTGTAGGTGGTTGTCGTGCAAACTGCAGCTCATCCTGCTCTCTGAAAACGACATTGCCAGCATCATTTCGGTTAAAGATGAGTTGCAATAATGTTTGTGCAGTTTAAGCATGTGATTTAAACTATGCTTTGCAGTGTGGAAAAGAGAAGGGTGGTCTTTAATCCTTTAGGATTGGATTTTGCTTCATATGAGATCATCTCTTCAAAGTAAAGCACTGTGCTGATGATGCAGACTTCACTTGGCTTATGTGCCCCAGCTTGGAAGCAAAGCTTTAATGATTTCTCATTCCATTGGCATGATGGTACTTATGTGTTGTCCTTGAGGTTACAGGTGGTATCCTTCTGAAATACATTCAGTCTTAATGCTGTAGTTATAAATGAGTATTTTGATAAAATGCCTTCTTTCAAATATGACTTCTTACAGGTGCAGCTTGTTGGTTTGGATGAAGAGAGCTCAGAATTCATTTGCAGGAACACCTTTGACCACCCCTACCCTACCACCAAGCTTATGTGGATCCCAGACACCAAGGGAGTATATCCAGACTTGCTGGCAACTAGTGGTGACTATCTGCGAGTGTGGAGAGTGAGTAAATCCTCCCTAGGAAAAGACGAACCATGATACTGTGTTGGGTCTTGATCTCGTTTTCACTCGAGACCAGATTTCTTGAAGTGAGTTACTTTCCTTTCAGGGTGTCTTGCCCTTGCTTATGTCTTAACAGTATTAAGACATAAAATCAAGTCAGAGCACTTGATTTGTTTCCTTACTTGCAATAAATGTGCTAAATATGAAGACTATAGGAGAAGTGGTATTATTATGGTAGTTGCTGGTTCCATTGCCTTAGTGAAGATAGAGATGGTGATTGTGTTTTCCAGAGCTTTAGGATTAACATCTTATGTTTTGGGAGTACGAGTGGAATGAGTTGTGTGATGTTGCTGTTTAAGTCAGATGTTTCACTGTTCCTAAAGGTGGGTGAAACAGAGACCCGGCTGGAGTGTTTGCTGAACAACAACAAGAACTCTGATTTCTGTGCTCCACTCACATCATTTGACTGGAATGAAGTGGATCCTTATCTTCTAGGTGAGACTGACAAAACACTACATGTTTGGCATGGAAAAGACATGCTTCTGAATTCAGGCTGGCAAAGTCTGGGCTGTGGCTGACTGTTGTGTCATTGCATGTCCTGTGGCTAATCTGATAACTTCCCAGTGGACAAACTTCCGCACTGTAAAACTGCATCATTGTGCAGCTCATGGAGACTTTTTCTGCACTGAAAGGTGCCCTGTTCTATACACAATAGGTTGGTTGAGTTGGATTAGGCATGCTCCTGATTTGCAGATAGGGAATCTTACTCTTCAGGGTATGTAAGCTGTTGCTGTGGTGCTAACGACTGATGTACGTTAACTCCTGTGGCTTATTTCAGCATGTTCTGGAGCAGATAGGAAACTGTGTACCAAGCTTTGTCTTTTGTGAAGCCATTTCAGCAGCAGGAGTCAAGCCAAGAGCCCTTAATTCAGTTAGATCTAGGAGGGGGCTGAATGCTTCAGGTTTAATTATAGCCTATGGGACACATTGTGAATCCGAGATGCCTGACCCAGCAGAGGTTTGTTTCCCAGAAGAGTACAGCCATTTATGTCAGGGGGATTTGCCCAGAGATTAACAGTGATAATATGCCTTAGTAATTATTTACTACATGATTTATTTTTCGTGTGTTGCATCTCTCATCTCTTAAGAGCTTTACTGCTACCCCCACCTTCAGCCCACAGCAACAATCAATTAATAATCACCCAGTATTGCAACACTCTGATTGAATTTTGGCTTTGTCATGCACATGAGACTTAGAGGATGGGAAAGCTCATCTCAGAGTTGCATCAGGCTTCTGAGTAGATGGAAGTAGACATGAGCTATTTACACTTTATTCCTGTGTGGAAGACTATTTCTGCAGCTAAAAGGTTTGGGTCATTTAAATGCATGGTAAGCTCTTGGCTGTTTGACATTCCTGATTTCAGTTGTGTGCTGTTCTTGTAGCTATTTTGATCTGTAGATGTTGGGGGGGTATTACATTAACCCAGTAAGTGATTGAATACTTTGTGATCATACTAGTTTTGACAACTAAGTGTTTTTTGTTTCAGGTACATCTAGTATTGACACAACCTGCACTATTTGGGGTCTGGAGACAGGACAAGTTCTGGGAAGAGTAAATCTGGTCTCTGGCCATGTGAAAACCCAGCTTATTGCACATGACAAAGAGGTGACAGGGGCTTTTTCTGATGGTTTATATTTACATATTGTTGAAGTGGTAGAAAAGGAGCCAAACTTTTATGTTTCCCCCCTTTTTCTTGAAAGATCTGATTGTCCAAAAAGGTAATTTATCCAAGATTAAGATACACAGTTTTGAGTACCAAACTAGTTAAAACTTTACTGTTGGCCATCAAAACTACTCTGTTTACTCATCGTAGAATCTGGACTTAAGAAATGCTTGTTTTATTAGATTATGCTCCTGAGTCATAGAATCCCAGACTGGGTTGGAAGGGACCTTAAAGCCCATCCAGCTGTAACCCCCTGCCAGGGGCAGGGACACCTTCCACTAGAGCAGGTTGCTCCAAGCGCCTGTGTCCAACCTGGCTTTCCTCCTCCTTTTGGCAAGTGTAATCACTAAGAACTTGCTAGGAACAATAACTACTTTACAGATAATGTCACAAGTAGGTAACATCTGTTTTGGAGTGAAGGAGAAGGCAGTGTGCTCACTAAAGCTGAGGTGCTCTTTCTGCCCTGTCACCGAGCAGGTCTATGACATTGCGTTCAGCCGGGCGGGCGGTGGCAGAGACATGTTCGCTTCCGTCGGTGCAGATGGTTCAGTGAGGATGTTTGATCTCCGTCACCTGGAGCACAGCACCATCATTTATGAGGACCCCCAGCACCATCCATTGCTGCGTCTCTGCTGGAATAAGCAGGATCCCAACTATCTTGCCACAATGGCCATGGATGGTATGGAGGTAAGGTGGCAGCTCATCCTCTTTGGGTGCTGGCAGCTATGGTTTCTTGGGAGGTGGCTTGGTACTGCTTAGTAGTCAGCTCTTTAGAGGGCAGTGTCAGTACCTGAACTGGAGTATGATTAAGCACCAATTCTTCATGCACTAACTTTAACTAAAGAAGAAACTTTGGCATTGTAAACTTGAAGATCTCTATGGGCGTATGTATTTCGGCTGATTTTTAAGAGGGGTCTCTGAGCCAGTTGAGCAGTAACTTTCACATAAAATCTTACCTGCACGTGTTTCAGTCACCTTGTTCTCTCTGGGTTCAGCACACAGAGCAGGGTATCTTCATTTGTTAACTGTGTTGCTTCAGGGAAACACAATTCCTTTGCCCTTGTGTATCTTGCAAGCCCTCCCTGAGGTCTGACTCCTTCTGGGACATCAGACATATTGACCAGGCAGAAGCTATTCTTTGAGAGCAGTGTTTGCTTCCCGACCACATCCTTTAGGAAGGGGCTGTATTTATAGCCTTGGGTCAAAATATTTGGTTTTCTGAAGAAACAAATGCAGGTTACTAATTTGGTTGGGGTTTGTTTTTGAAGGTTGTGATTCTAGATGTCAGAGTTCCCTGCACTCCTGTTGCCAGGTTAAACAACCACAGAGCGTGTGTAAATGGAATTGCTTGGGCACCTCATTCGTCCTGCCACATTTGCACAGCTGGTAAGTGTGATCCATCCCTATCCAGCTGCATTGGTGAATCCCTGAGAGTCTTTCAGTGCTATGAAGTGGACACCTAGAGCCTATTGTGTGGTAGCAAAGCTCAGTGCCCAAAGTCTGCATGGCTTTAGCTAAGCTGTAGTGTTTTAATGCTCCTTAGCTTATTGCAGTCTAGTTCTTAATGTTTTCAATTGACAGGAGTTCCACTGGTCACTTGTTTTTCAACTCTCTCCTAGATAACATGTAATGATCCAAGTTGATTTTGTTTGAGCATAGTCGTATCTCATCAGGACTACAAGTTATATCCTGTCTTAACTTCCTGGCCTATGAGCCTGTCAGTAGCTATGTATGGACATCTTTGGTTGCATTTCCAGTTTTCTCTTCCATTTGCAGCGGATGACCATCAGGCTCTCATCTGGGATATCCAGCAGATGCCTCGTGCCATTGAGGACCCTATCTTGGCCTATACAGCAGAGGGAGAAATCAACAATGTACAGTGGGCATCAACTCAGCCAGACTGGATAGCTATCTGCTACAACAACTGCCTGGAGATTTTGAGGGTGTAACACTACTGCTTCATGCCACAGTGAGGCAGGGCTGTGTAACTTCCCTTCCCCTCTAAAGTAAGAACAAGGCAAGTCAAGTGGCCAGTATCTGTTGTTGCTTTGCATCTACTGTTACAAGGAACTGTTACAAGAATCAAAGGCAGGTTTCTCCTGTCTCTCCAAGACTCTAAAATGCAGAGACGTGCTGAGCCTCTTGGACCTTCTGGGTTCTGGTTTCCTTCTTTTTCCCCTCAGTTAAAGTTCTGTATATTTGTTTGACTGTATTAAGAAGCTTGCAGGCTTTTAAGTTGCAGCATATGTCCCTGTGTTTGTCAGCCAGCTGAGGTAGCACATCAACTAGTTTAATAGATGCAGGTGCAAAACAAAGTGTGGGGGGGGAAAAAGACACTGTTAGCCACCTTGGCAGGAATCTTTAGCATTCCTGTTGTTGCTGCCTCTAAACTGTTGAAACATTTGTATGTTTTTTATATATTGGGCTATAACTTTCTATTGAGTAAGGTGGTTTTTTTTCCTTCCCTAATTCTTACTTTTGATATGTGATCCATTTCCAGATGCCCAAAGCAGGATCTGTTCCTTGATACAACACTGCAGGCTCCCTGGCAGTAAAGGCCTGCCAGAATTAACTGTTGCCTTGGCTCTTATACCTGGTGACCTGGGCAGAATTTCCTGGTGCTGTGAAGTACAAGTACTTGTTGCACAATTTCTTTACACTTCTCTGATGCTAGAGGCAGTTGTTACTATGGTAGGCCTTATTTTTAACTTATAACTGGATTTGTGTGTATCCTGCACTTGTGTTAGCTGACAGAATGGTTATAGGTTTCAGGAAGAAGATACATGCATGATTTAAGCTCCCAGGAGGTAAACTACTCCTGGCAAAATGTGATTTGTAATGGACTTGGGATTGACACTTCCAATCAAATGATTTCCCTTCGGAAGACTTCCTATCTAAACCAAAATAAAATGGTTTCACACTTTGTAGCTTGCTTGATTGGCAAATGATCTAAGCAGGATTCTGGGGTTAGCCTGTACCTTGGAGCTTCTTTGTGTTTGGGCTGTGTTCTGGGAGTTCTAGAGAGGGCTGCAAAGCAATCTTTCTTTCCAAAGTGTATTTGCTTTGTACTGTCAGGTCTTGTTGAATGAGGGAGATGAGTCAGAAAAGCTGGTCTGCACTCGAGATAAAAGCTGTTCTCTGAAAGAAATTATTCCCTAATGCAATGCACAAAGATAGATGTAGAAGGAAAGAAAGTGCCATTGAGGCTGAGGTTTGGCACTTGTCACCCTCATAGCTTTCGGGGATGTGCCCAAGGGCTTCTGTTTCGGTTTTGAAGAGTGGATCACTCTACAGCAACACTTTTCAAGCAAAGCTGAGTGGATTAGGCAAGATAAAAATCATCGTTGAAGTCTTAATGTAACATAGCTCCTCAGATGAATGCTCTGCAGTACTCTCCCAGTGGAGACATGCCAAGCATAGCTGGTCTGGGAGGGTATTCCAGCTGAGTCTTGATGTGAATGTCAGAAAAGATCAAAGTCCTTTCCACCTGGTGACTATTCACCTGCAACTGAGGCAGCAGGACACTGGCAAACAGGAATCTTGGCAGTTTGTGCAGGAAAGGCAAGTTGGGAAAGTGATTGCAGTGAAACAGTGAAGCTGACACTGAAAGCACTGTCAAATACAGAACAGAATTGGAGGAGTTCTGCCGTTCTGGACATAGAGCAATACTCTTCTACAGGCTGCTTCTCAACGTGGAGCTGAGGAAAGCACTGCCTTGCTTTGAATTTGATAGGAATTTGTAGGGACAGCTTTATTCCATCACTCCTTTTACCATCAGAGAACCAAGAGACTCTCACACAGTTCAAGCTCATGTTTTGTCAATGCCATTCTGCGTTTGGTTGGGGTGTTCTTAATAGAAGGCTTGATTTGACTTGAAGGTCAGGTTTTTCTTACTAGCAGCAGTGCTGTGAGTGTCATGGATTTGATCTAGATGCCAGACCAGTGTCTGCTGAATGATTAGGGTACTACTTTTAACAATAGCACTTCATCTTAAGCTGGCAAATACTTGTGCAGAACGAAGTGAAGACTGGGATTTCCTCAGTGGAAGCACTTAATGGCATTCACAGCTTTAGATACTTGTATAGAAATCTGTACTTGTCATGTCCTGTTTAATTACGAACTGTAGGCATAATATGCTGTGTTACTAAGAGGGAGCTACCTGTAGCTTTAATACTTTCTGTAGCTCCCTTTATGCTTCAAAGCCATCTTCTTGTATAGATGGCATGAGTAAAGGATGAATACATTTGTGGCTCAGCTTAAAAATGCAGCTTTTGCAGCTGCAGAACTGTGCTTTAAAAAAGACAAAAGATCATTTAGTTTAAAGTCACTAAAAGACCCCATAGGCTATATTAAATGGCAAAGGCAGTTTATTCCTAGAGGAATACAATCTATTACACTAAGATGATAAGAGAGCATATATAAAAGAGCTGATAGTCTGAATAGCCATGTAGCTTTTGCTACGGTTGGAAAACAGTCCTGTTATGAACTTGAAGAGTGTCAGTTCTTCCATCCATAAAACTGCTTGAAGTTCATCTGTGGAGTTTGGAAAACTGTTCCAAACTTGTCAAGACAAGTGAAGGCATCTTGTAGGCTCCAGTGGGTACTAAATAAAGCCTGAATCCTGTTTGTTTAGCTGGTTGGGGTACCTTCTGGGTCCACAGCATATTGCTTTGGGCATAATCCATTGACATTCTTCATGTGAAATTACATTTTAAATCACTAGAGGCTGGTTTAGAACAGGGAAATGCTACTTAAAATAGCTTCTTTTCAAAGAAGTCACTTGAAAGGTTAATGACTGAAAAGACATGAAAATCCTCATGGGTGAGATGTTCTGTAGTGCAAATGGCACTTCCAGATAGAGAAGGAAGTGAGAGGCTTTGGTGCCCTTTTACCAGCACCTGCTGACACAGAGGCAGGAAACTCATGGTCTGCCTCTTGGTTCAAGTTTATTTGCAAGATAAAATAAGCCCCTGAGACTTGGCACTGTAGCCTGTGATTCAGAAGATACAGTTTTTGTCGCATTTCACCTGCTTAACAATGACATTGAGTGTAAAGGTCCTAAAAAAAGCATTAGTTTTGTCCAAAAGTTTACTGCACAAGCAGAGGATGGAGAGCAATTGCTTTCAAATGCTTCATATCCCTTGAGTATAAAGTAACATTAAGGGAAAAGTGAGCATGAGTGAGGTTAACAAAGCAGAACATCACATGTTATTGTTGGTACAGGCAAGACTGATTCTGGGGTAGAAATATTCCTCTCTGACTTCTTTAGTTGTGTATCACTTCTCCAGTCGATTAATTCCAGATCCTAACCTAATGTTTGGTGGTTATGTTCTGTTTAAACCAAGCTTTCTTGGTTTAAACAGAACATAGATTCATGCTTGTATATTGGCTCTCAACCAGGAGATCTTGATCATGCAAAACTCATTAGTGAGGTGAAAATAAGTTGGCTGGCGCATTAGTGCAGAGGCTGCCAGCTCTGTTAATTCTCTAAATGAAATGGGCTATGGTAGGTTGCATCTCTGGGAATTGTACTTCTGCGTGCAGGGATTTAAAAGGCAAGGATTTGAGTGCTCTGACAATCTATTTAGAAAGAAAACAAAGTGGTTTCAAAAAATGATAAAAAAGGAGACTGATAATACAGGTTGTTCCTTATGGAACCTTGAAATGTACTTAACGGGGGAGGCATTGCCTCTCATAAGTCAAAGTTAATGATCCTTTCAAAACTTAGCTGTAAGTACTCTCCTGAATGTTCTGGATAATAGTAAAAAGATCTATTTTTGCCTGGTGTTGCAATGAGAAAGCTGCATCAGTCTCCACTGCAGATCACTGCGTGCCAGAGACTAGGTGAGGGGAGGAGTCCCATAGATTAGAATTCACAGATGCTCTTGTGCTTGTTTTAAATGTAAATGAAGAAAGCTGAGTGTGTCTGTTTTGTTGTCTTGCAGATGGCACTTTATCAAGTATATTTTTGGTAAGATTAGGATGGGAGTCATCTTTTCCTCAGCCCTTTTGTGGCAGGCATTTGTTTGTGTGTTGTACAAGATGTTAAACACCACAGTCACCAAAATCCTAAACAGGCTGTGGTGGTTGTGGACCCTCTTTTGGTTCCACTGAACACCAAAACCGAGCACTTGGCGATGCTGTTAATGCGAAACTGAAGCTCTGTATTCTGAGACTGACACAACCAACACGAGCAACCTGGTGCTGCTTGTCACCCAGAGAGGCCCTTTTGCTGAGGAACTTGATGGCATTTTGAGTCTTCTACCATCTGAACACAGTGGCAGAAGTTGGTTGTGTAAAGATGTAGCTGGATTCTTTGCTTAAATTATTTTTGTGATAGACAAACTGCAGCTGCTGTCTGTAAAGTCTAACCTAAATTCTGGAACTTGTCCTTTCTTTGTTAGTGGTATTGAAACTCTTTCAGGCCAGAAAGAGTGATGAACTGAAGAGGAGGAACAGCAGCAAGGGTAAGCTCTTGGCTCAATAGATTGTACAGTTACGCTTCCATCAAAGTACTGAAGCATTTAGTCTTCCCACTGCTAACTGGTCCTACCACCCCAAATCCTGGCTGTGTTACCCCATCAGTTAACACATTCTCTCTGATACATATTTCCTGCTTTATACTGTCAGAGCAGTACTCCAGAGCAGGCCTGTATTTCTGGTACAGTGACCATTAAAAGGAACTGTGCAAAATCAGCTCTGGAATGAGCAAATACTGTCAGCAGTGTCCCCACTTTGCAGAGAATCCAAGGAATTAGTTGGATGTGGCACTTAATGAGCACTTTCTCACACTTCTTGGAAATGCAGCTGTATTTCCTCCTTCTTACCTGGGAAGAGTCAGAAAAGGCTGGTTCTCAAGGACATTGAGAGGAGTTGAGCTTGCCCCTACCTCCTCTCTTTATAAAGGGAAGACATCCCCAGAACTTCTGATCAGCACCTTTCACCAGCACTAAAACCTTGTCATTCAAAATGCAGCTAAATCCCATCACTCACTAGTGATTCATGGCAGGCTCCAGAGGCAAAGGCACCTGTGAGCCTGGCTTGCTGCTGCCTCCTTTCCAGATGGACACTTTGTCTGCCAAGTGTCCCAGTGGCCTTTTGTGCAGCCTCTGAGACTTGGCATCAAACTAGAATCCCCATCATCATAAAACCAATGTAAAAAACCCATGTGGCTTCCATCAAGTTGATTTCTTGTCAGAAAATGTAGCCAAATGAAGAAATAAGCTGTTTCCTGAAGAAAATACTGTGGCCACAAGTAGCTGTGAGCCCATGTTCCAGCTCTCATCCCTTGGAGTTTGTTTTCCTGCTTGCAAGACGTGTGACACTCAAGTCCCTGCTGATAGAGATGAGGATGAGTCTGTGGAACCTGAACAGGGGCAGAAATGCAAGAAGCAGAGAGTGAGAGAGTCTGGTCCAGCTGTAAAGCTTTTCTTCTCTTTTGACAACCTGGTAAATATGAATTCTGAAATCTTCTACTTAAAAGGAACCTTTTCTTTTGTTAACCTTGGGTTGGTAGCAGTGTTCAATGTAACTGAAATCTGTTGCACCGAAGCATTTTTGTTCCCAATAGACAAGTAGATGTTTACTTTTCTGTGTGTTTCCCCTTCTGCTCTTCCCATCCACCGTCCCGTTGTGGTAATTTCCTGAAGGTGTAATCTTTGTAGCATGATTGTACAAACATCCATAGGAGATTCCTGACATCTTGTTCTCACTAA